AGAGAGAGATCCTCAGGAATATCGTGCGGCAGGATTCCTCACAATAGGATTACACATGCCCTCAACTTATCTAGGCTGAACACTGTATGGGCGAGTCCGGAGGGCAGAGCCGAGGGTTAAACTGATGTATCCCCCTCTGTGCCAAAATACAGCGGACCGTTTTATACTGGAGCATCACCACCGCGCACTTGATACAGCGCTCACATCAGCTCATCCTGACAGCGTGTGCTCAAATAAATTCACCCTCCGCTTCTCAAAAAGTCCCCTCCACCCCCTCCCTAGCCCCAAAACCACAAGGGGGGCAGGTTATGAAGGCGTCGGTTATGTCAGCTGGGATTTGTTTGTTTTTTTGTTTGCTTGCTTTATGTTGATGTTTGATTTTTTTTTTATAGTGGCCCAGGCATAAAGTATAATCCCACAGTGCGTGGAGGCGAGTCCGTAAGGATGACGCGCACTAGACCGAATTAAAGTCATGTGGAGAGAGACAGAGAGCAAGAGAGAGAGAGAGTGTGCAAGAAGCCTATCGACTGAAAACACCGCCGTACACATGTTTGATGTGCTGTGTGCCTGCAAAAACACTCTGTGGTCCAATGTCCCAAAGCAAAGCTCAACAGCAAAGACATTTATAAGATATTTATTAGATGTTTGTTTTTAAACCCAAGTCTCAGTTGATTTCTTGCCACAATACATTTGACTCCATATTGATGTAGTTTTTAAGAGGTGATGCTGTAGGCCAGAGCACAAAGAATCTGACTGCAATGGGTAGTTTTTAAGAGCAAAGTTGCATAATATCGTTGGTCTCCACTAGGCACAGTTATGAAATTATCCCACAGCCCACAGCCATGTACATGGTACTAGAGAGCCAACGTGACATTCACAGTTTATTGGAATTTACTAAGACAGTTAACTGACAGTAGGAATAAAACCTTGGTGCTTGTCTTAGTGTGGCAATAGAAGACTTTTGTTTGGACCCCTATTCTGCTTTTTCTTGAAATAATTCTTTGACACCACCACATTATTTTACATCACCACGTTTCTTAAAGCCCCTGCACTAACTACTCCTAGTAGTAAAAGTGCAATGGGTTACCTTATTGATCACAATTCTAGAGCTGAAGCAATTAGTACTATTAGAGTACTATTTTTTTTAATTTGTTGATTGTCATTCTGAAAGAAAAAACTACAAACTACACCAAGTTACAGCTTCTTAAAGTTGATAACTGCTGTTTTAATAATTGTAAGTTGAATATCTTCAAGACATTTGAAGACATTAGAAAATGGTGAAGGGCATTTTCACTATTTTTATAGAATTCAATCAATTATGATAATAGTCACTAGTTGCAGCCCTACACAAATAAAATACTTTCCCCGTCTGTCTCCTCTAGAGGGATCTTTGTTGTGGAGCCCAAACACCATCCCTTAAACTGAAGATCCATTGTCTTGCTTAAAGTCACTACTTGAAGCTGAGGTGTTGGGTTGGCAGGACAATGTCTCTCCCCAGCCTGATCATTTTCATTGCTCTTTCATGTTTCATAAATCCACAATCATTTGTCATGCACAAAGGACTAAAGTTTTAAAGTATTTTTTGTGGTTTAAATAACAGAAGTGACAGCCAGTTGTGTCACAGCCTGCTTATTTCAACTAACGCAAACAGCATCTAAGCCAACTATCTGAACAACTTTGGATTAAGATCAATGGATTCAGCATCTTGCCCTACAGCCTTTTGCTGCGGCCAAGCATTTATCACATCTCTTGCCTATCAAAAAGCTCTTCACCGACAGTAATGGGGTGAGCTCATGCACAAGAGCTGTGGCTGACTTTTAGAGTAGAAAATCCACAGCTGCTGTTAAATTGCATGTGCACATACAACACAGAGACTTTGCAGAGTTTACAACAAGTATACAACAGACCTAGATTTAGCATACACTGTGCCCAGCAGTTCAGCTCGTCCATCCTCCCCTACACTCTGTCCCAGTATCGATTATCTGACAAGAGAAAAGCACTACATCCTCCTGGTTCCTTCCTGCTGCCTCAACTCATCCCAACAAGGAGCAATCTGCCCAACATACATCACAACCCCTTTTAGACTCAGATAAGAAAACCTCTTAATAAGATTACTGTGGTCTTTTAGTGTTATTATTCTTGCCAAGGTACTTAATCAGCATCTGTGCAAACAAACAAAGCCCACAAATATTGTTTGCACCAAACAAAAATAGATTTTAAAACCCTCTGTCATTTAAGATATATTTATGTTCAGAGATTTGTTTTTACTATCTGTGCATTTCTTCTTTATGCTACAAAGGACAGCTTGGCTGGATCCCAGTAGAGGTAGATTGCCATCTAGTGGGAAACTCTGGCAACACATGAAATTAAGGCTCTCCATATAAACATATTAACAGTTCAAGTGCAAATAGTTAAATTAAGCAGTTTTTCCTGTTATTACTACCTACATAACAAAACAACTAAAACACCAAATAAAAAAGGTATTATTTTAAAAGAAACATTTATTTCAAAAGAATGAGAGGAAAGTGAAGTTTTGCCTGAAGTTGGATTTGTTTTGCACTACTATTTTACAGTTATTTTAATTATTGTAAACTCTTCTGTCCTTATTTTGTATCTGTATATAACATCAACAAAACATGGGAAACAAATTGGCAATACAATGAACGTCTTTTTTTGGGGTCCATATTGTCCATTTACCCAGATCCAGATATAGAATCCTTGTTGTGTGCAATGAAGGTGATCCATCGCTCCCTTTTTCATCAGGGATAATGATATTTTTCCCGTCACATATATGAGCTATGTCCACAGCATAATGTTCAACACTGGGAGGATCAATTTTTATGGCAGTTTTTGCATGCTTTCTTGCAGCAGACCAGTAGAATTTCACAGAGATGAGGGTCGCTTCTCAGCACGACTGCTTATATTATCAATCCAACACTTCTCTTACCGTCCTTAGAAATATAAAATAAAGATACATAAATACATATATAAATATATTCCGCCAAATACGATAATGTGTTTGTGTGAACAGAAGATGTGAGAATGATTAGCATTCATCTCCAACACCGCTGTTGAGTATAGAGTTGTTTTTTCTTATTTTGACTTATGATGAAGAAACAAATGAAATTCTTGCAACCAAAGTCTCTCCATTTCCTGGAATTTGCACAAGGGTGTTGTGTCACGAACATTTACATCTACATTAAGATTTCATTCCCACTTTTACTTATAGAGAGCTATTATCTTTATGGATCTGTAAACCCTGCTCTGTGTATAGCTTTTCTTTTTTTACTTACATTATTATTTCTTGCTTTCTTTTCTCTGTTCTTATCTTTTTGTATCTTTATCTGGTCTGATGTAACACTTTATTCTTCCCTGCACATCAGTGTTTATTATATTATTATATATTACTTATTTTAGCTAACAAAATGCTAACCATGGAAAGTTCCATAATGGATTTATCTTGGGTAGCTTCTGCCAAGAAGGCAGTACGCACAGGATCGGAATTTAATTGTATTAGAGGTCCACGGGGGTTCTGCTAAATAGCTATAGATGGATATACATTTCTGTTACAGAATGCAAACATGGTGAGGAATGGTGGTTCATTTGTTTGTAACATCACTGTGCATCACTGAAGACCCCAAACACTTCCTGGCTGCAACCTTTCCTGAGTGCAGTTTGCATGTTCACCAAAGATATGCAAGTTAGGTGCATATCTTTGGTGCACACATGCAGCAGTTAAAGTAACACCTTAACTTGTATGTTGGTATGTCTGGCCGGTTCCCATTACCCTCTTAAACTGGACAGGTAAACATAGAAATTAGTAAAATTTTCAGAAGTTCTATAAATCAGCTCAACCCTCCAAATATCCTGAAAGGATCAACAAACATGCCATCCACCTGTCTTGGCACAAGGACAGAGACACTTTGTGGGATTTATGGATGCCACTATGCTTCCTCTCTCTCTCTTTCTCTCTCACTTCAAAAGCACATGAGTGGGGTGACAGGCCACAGGGGAGGGGGGCTCCATTGTTAATTGGCCTTTTCAGCTGAACAGAGAGGTGAAGGGAAGAAGAAGAGAGGAGAACAATAGGGGCCCACTGCCTCTCCAGGAAAAGGGGGATGCACCGCCTTAAGAGATAGACCAATCAGAGCCTATATAGACCTGCGGGGCTCACCTCAGACAACCCCAAACTGAGTGAATGAGGCAATCAATCATGTAGCCTGCAGCTCACTCAAAATAAATGGCCTGTAGCCTTAATGTAGACTGCAGAATATTTTTTAAATTATCTGTCCTGCTGCTATAGTGGTTCAGGGGATATGCCCTGAAAGCAGCATAGTGCACAAGCACGAGGTGTTACTTAACAGACACACTGTTTCCTCACATCTCACTCTGCGGTTCAATGGGACGATAGGTAGGCCTACTCTTTTCTCACTTCAATAAGGGGATGAAGCTCAATTAGCATTTCACAAGTCCCCTTTTCCTCCTCCATTGCAACATTCCCCGCGGAGCCCCTGCTTTCTCTGGGGATTGTCCTGTTTTGGGCCCTTGTTGCCGTGCCGTTGGCAGGGTGACAGTATTCGAGTGTGCAAACTTGTGCTATTGTCCGCGGGCCAGAGGGAGCCATGGAGACCCCATAATATGACACAGGAAAATGTTTGCTGATGGCAATTCTATGGGCTTTGTCCGACTCTTTCTCCTTCATGACGACTCGATTTAAGTCTCTAAATGTTTGACTACAAATGCAGGAGTGCTATCCAGCTCCTTTCCCTTTGTCCCGCGAGGTTTGAATGAGTAATTCAGCCTTTGTGTCGCTCGATTGAGGGGGCAAACAGAAAGACAAGATTCTTGAGCGTTCAAGCCCCTTTCCATGGTTATGCACTCTTTAGATCCCCCCCTCACCAAATCCTACAGCTGACATCAGTCTTGGGGAGGGTATCAGGGGGTATCTATGTTACAAACTCAACGTTAACAGCTCCAGAATAAATTTACAATGCTTACCTATTTCAGCTGAATTTGCACTTATTTTTATTCATGCACACTTTTAGGAGAGGATTGGCCAACGCGCCGAATCACAGCGTAGGAAAAATATCGCATCCCCTCAGCTGCTTTTTCCAGATCTCCATGACAACAATTTGCAATGGTGAAGAATTCGATACCGGGACGCTTGGAGGCTGATTGGGGTGCATTGTGAGGGGCCTGGGGTCGCTGATTGGTTCAAGGAAAGCACCATAACTACAAGGAGTTTATATTCATTCAACTTGTTGAAGTGCTCCTGCTGCAGCCTGGAGAGAAGTCTGTGCTTGGACTGTGGCTGCGAGAGAGACTGAAGTCAGCAGTGGTAGGTCATTACTATGAAAGAAATATATATAAATTGAGAAGCTTTCAGTGCTGGCTTGAGGGCAGAATTCCTGAGTAATGCGCAATTACGCGAAGTCTAAATGTGTTTTCTAATTTTCCTTTAGATCTGGATGGTGGACTATAAGTTATAACATGGACTGATTTGATCAAAATCTTTGGCAAAGATGGCAAATGCAGATAGTGAGGTCAAGACGTTGCTGAATTTTGTGAATCTGGCATCCAGCGATATCAAAGCGGCCTTGGACAAGTCTGCTCCGTGCAGACGCTCTGTGGACCACAGGAAATATTTGCAGAAACAACTGAAGCGTTTCTCTCAGAAGTACTCCAGAGTGCCAAGATGCCACACGCTCAGGTCTGCTGAGTATGGGTGCACCAAACCGGTGGGAACAGCTCACCAGAGGGTGAAGGTCGCAGAGAAAGCCAGTTTGGATGCTCAAGGTGTGGAGAATATGGGGAGCGTTGTAGAGCAGGTGCCCATGAGGAAACGTCAACTACCTGCCTCATTTTGGGAGGAACCGAAGTTGACCCCAACTAAGAGGGAGCACTCACATTTAGGATTGAGAAAGAACCACACGGGCCCATCTGAGGGCAGTGAAAACGAAAAGAGGAAAAAGAGTTATGATGATGATGATGCTGCAAAGGCCACTATGTCTGCGTCCAGTCGACGCAGCTCTGCGGACAAAGAGACGCTGAAACTGGACCTGACCTCTCATCACTGTGTGAGTGTTTGCGGCTGCTGCCCCTTTCAGTACCACGGACACCAGGTCCTCCACAGTCACATTGTTGTCCCCCATCCGCCTCTGGGAGTGTGGAGCAAAGCAGCAGGGACCCAGACAGAGAGACCCGAGCATCCTTATGGACAGAAAATTCACACGCACGTTGTGGTCAAACCCATACCGACCAAACCATCTGTCCCTTCACCGATCTTCAGTGTGTTTGGATTCATTTAATTACCTTACTAATGGACCAGTCACACAAAAAATGTGCAAATAGGACTAATTATTTTCATTTTGTGTTTTACACAGACAAATCTTTCTTTCTCTCAGCATTTCTACATGAGACACCTTCTTAAGCACTTATTGGAATGCTTCATCTATTTTTATTGTTTAAATCTAAAGGACTAAGTTGCACTTGCAGAATAACTTCAATACTGTTCAAAGGTGTCCACTTTTAGGTGTCTACAGAGAATGACTGTTCTTTTTTTAAGTACCAAAAGTCATGCAAATGAATGAAAGCATCCTGTTTTAGTTTTCTCTTTCGACTGTGAGAATAGAATATGGGACATAGATTGCTTTTTTCTTTGTCCAAGGAATCTTTGATAGGCGCATTTGAAAAAATGACTTTTATTTTTAAATAAATGATTCAACTTCCCTAAAGAACTCCTTTGGGCATTAGATCATTTTCACTATCACCGAGCATTTCTGTGAAACTACAAAACAGACAGATTAAAGAAACTTAACATTAGATTGCATATAAATAGCTATTTTATACATAGAGAACAGCTTTGAGAGGAGCATTTACAGATTCAAAACTTTAGATACAACTAAAAAAAGAAACACAAAATGATAAATTTAGTCGCATCTCTGATGCCTATAATGCTTGACGTTAATTTTAAAAGTCAGTCAGCCAAACTCAGGTATCTGATCAGTCTGTCCGGCAGAGGTAGACTTGTGAGAGATTTCAGTCTGTGTCTCCCCATTTGGGTCCTAATCCTCAATCTGCAAAGGTGTAGCAGTGGACGAGGTGACACTGTTGACAAGAAGAGAAACGACAAAGAGGATTTGCATATTTGTAGACCTCGTTTGTGTTGAATGCATGTGTGAGGAAGTGAAAAGACAGAAAGAGACATGTTTGCATGTTAGGATGTAAGTAAATGATGAGATTTTTTCTGATACGTACATGACTTCCTCTTAACAGCGAGCCATTCTTCCCGGCTGTCCAGTTGTTCAGTGAGCTTACTGCACAGCTGAACATGACCAACATGCTCCAGCAGCAAGTCTATAATTGGTCCTGCCCACTTACACATAACTGATGTTGAGATCCACTCACAGAACTGGAGAAGAAAATCAGAAACAAAGCTAAATTATTCATAAAGAACATTCAGTCATTGTGAAATCCATTAGACTATTTTTGATTATTATTCACACCTGTAATGCCCTTTCTGGTGGCTCACTGCAGTTTAAAGGTAACATATTGTCATTCTGCAATCCATTGCCGCCAGTTCTTATAGGGGATCCTCCTGATGTTGGGTGAGGGGCTCTGCCATGTGTACAGCTAAAGCAGGAGAGGGCATCACAGCCATTGTCCAGAAGGCACTTGAGTAGAGGCAGATTATTCATGCAAAGTGCAACAACGGCAGGGAACGTAGTAGTATTAGCCGCCATTCTGGCATTGACATCGGCCCCTCTCTCCAGCAGTAATGACACAGTGCTGACACAGCCCTGCCGTACGGCCATTAGTAGAGGACTGATTGGGTCCAGGCTTAGACTAGCGCCGGCGTTCAGTAACACCTCTGCTGTCTCGGTGCTGTCGTTTGCTATAGCAAAGTAGAGGGCTGTTGCGCGCCGATCAGCATACTGGATAGAGTGACTGTGGGCCAGTGTGGCGTTTACATCTACACCTGTCTTCAGTAGCACAGCTGCCACTGTGTGTCTGTTGTGCTCTGCTGCCAGGTGCAGGGGGCTGATACAGCAGTGGCGGAGCCTGGCTCGACTTGTCACTGAGACAAGCAGGGACACAATCCTGGACACAAAGTGAAGAGGTTAATAACACAAAACACACAAAGACAACAAATACAAAGCAGTTTCTATAACTCTTAGTCTAGCTCTGTTTACAGTAACCACTCTGTGGTCCATTCTGACCACACATTTTGTATCTGAGCACTTACATCTTCATCAATGTTTTCTATTATAACATTACCTAATTAACAAATTTCTAGTTCAAGTTTCTAAACTTACTCATGGTGTCCATATTGGGCAGCAACATGCAGCGGCAGCAGTCCTGAGTTAGTGGGTTTGTTGGCATCGGCGTTTTTAGCCAACAGCACTGCAACGCTTTCCTTATGGCCATTTTTACTAGCCTCATGCAATGCTGTGACACCATCACACATGTACATGTTCACATCTGCACCTAAAGAAAAGCATTTGTTCTTTAAAACATTTAAAAGGGGATCAGAAACATGACAAGGAGGGACATTTTATGCAGGAAAGTACCTTTCCCTATAAGGTAACACAGTGCCCTCATCTGTCCGCGCTGAGCTGCTACAATGAGTGGTGTGATGCTGTAGGTATTAGGTGGATTGATTGAGGCGCCGGCTCTTATTAGCATCTCACAGATCTCTGTGTTGTTCCTGGATACAGCCTCATGGAGGGCTGTCCAACCCTGACCACACCGTTGGTTCACAGTGGCCCCACAGGACAGAAGGAGGCTCACCATCTCCACATTCTCCAACTCACAGGCTACAGAAACAGACAGGACACTGAGTCATTTCTGTCAAATGCCTGGCTGATATACACTTATCCATACTTTCTAAATAGTTCTGCTGTATACAGTTGAATTTAACAGCTGTACCTTTGTACAAAGGGGTTTCTTTGTTCTTGCTGCAGATGTCAGGGTCGGCGCCTGCCTCCAGAAGGCACCGCACACATGACAAGTGTTCACAAGACACTGCAAGCAGTAAGGCCGTCTGCTCCTGCAAGGTACGTTTGTCTACTGAACCTGGATGGGCTGGAGCATAAAATATAGGCATCACACTAACCAGTTGCCTGACTTTTGAAAATATACATCCTATAGTATCACACTGAGCCAATGCACAGAACAAATGCACCCTCAATAATACTTTCAATGGCATACCTCTCAGTAAAGTCTTCAAGCACTCTGTCTGTCCACAGAAAGCAGCATCATGCAGAGATATCCAGCCATCTTTGTTTTCCTTCAGCAGGCTGTGAGGAGCAGATGTGGCCAGATCATTAACAGCCTTAACATCCCCTCTCCTGATGGCAAAGACCACGGGGTCAACATCCCTTGAAAGGAGAAAAAACAAACCACTTACACTTAAATTTGATTAAGGGTAAACTTAGACAGACATCAGCACTGTTCGGGGGCAGCAGTTCTGATGCAACCATGGACCTTAAATCTTTAAATTTAGGCGATTACTTGATGTTAGGGGGTCTATGTAACCTAAATAAGCAAATAATACTGTAGGATATGTTATTAATGAATTAAGAATCAAGAATCAAGATTAAACACATCTTACTCATATTCTTCTAGTTACACAGAAGACCTCAGTCGTGCACAAGGACCCCACCACACGCACGCGCACACATACAAGCAGCCTCTGTGTCTAACACCACAACAAAAGACTCACTCCGGCTCAGACGTGACGTCGCTCTGACTGTCCCCTCTCCTCCTATCTCCTCGCAGTCGCGGCAGAACATAATTACATTTACCTCCAGCATTACGGAACTGAGATAAGTATTCAGAATAGCTGAATTTCGTCATTACTGATGATAGATTTCACGGCAGTGTTTCCACACACGGCGCGTCGGCGGAGCAGCGTGCGGCGCCGAGCGGGGCTCAGCTGTGCTCTCTCAGATTATTTTGGGACCGTATTGTCAGGCCGCAGGGTGACGGGTTTACCCATATATGTCAAGAGACTCAGTCATCCAGAGATAAGGCGAACAGCACTGGAGATAATGCAGTACTAGCCGAGATGTCGTTATTCACATGAAGCCTTTATGTCATTGGCTGGTTTGCACATTAAACGACCAGATAATAAAAAAGCACTAATCTTAAAGGGGACTTGTTGGTATGAATAATAAAACAAGCAATAACAATGACTATTACAGAAGAATAAAGATAGATCCACCACAATTCATGAGTTACTATTTACTTTTGAATGCCACAACTGAAAATAAACGGACTAGCCTACATCTTACTGTAACCTGGGCTACAGCCAGGATTTTAGAAATAGCTGGTGTATTCCCATTCTGTAAAACTTTCTGATATAATTTGTCGTGGACATTTTCTTTATTAATTTAACAGGGCAATTGTATTTTCAGCAAATTCAGTGCCCCAAAGTGATGGTCTAGAAGCTGTTTAAAAAAAAAAAAAAAAAAAAAAAAAGAGTAGCATCACTTCAGTTTGCTGTCCTGGATCCACAAAGCAGCACACTGCTGAAGTGGATCCGTAGAGAATCCATTTTCATCTAAAATATGAGAATCATGCCTTTAAAAACCCATCATATTCAATTCAAATCCCCAGAAACAACACTGAAGTTGTTACCTCTGTGCCCTCAATGATGGCTACAGGCATGACCATGACCTCTGTTCGGGATATTTTTACACCACAGAATATGAAATCATTTTATATCCCCTTCTAAGAAAATTATTTCCCATCATATCCCTTCTAAAATGTTCAAAATGAAGTCCTATTGAGGGAACTAGTGAGCAAATTATGTCATAACTTAAAAAAAACGGTTTTTAGCTTTGGCTGCATTTGTCTGGGAGAACTATGACACCTAATAAAAGATTCCTTTCCCTTTAAGACCACCAAAGTCACGTGGGCACAGTAACATAAGTATTCATGTTCATGACCTCTGAACTTCATGTGTCTAAACAATTGCACCTGATAATGGCTTGTAACGGACTCACTAAATCATGTTCAGCGGGCGGTATTTTCTCCACAAGAGGGGGGTGTTTTGTGGCTGACACACATGACACATCTACAGGAATTTAAAGTCAAAGCAGCAGATATGTACATTTCACTGTCACCTCTTACTGATGCAGAAAGTAATATCTGCTGCACTCTTGCAGTCCACCTGCAGGCAATACCTATTCAAGCTGTGGTTTTAGATGTAAAACATGCTACACACTAGCTGAAATAAATTTTTTTTATAATAATGTAATGTCATTTTGTCCCCTTTCACTTCCAGAGTATGTTAACTACTCTAGCTTGTTGCTCTAAACACAAATGTTAGATTATAAACTATTTTTTAATCTGATTTTATCATTTATTTCCCTCACATGACCCAGCTTTAACTTTACACTTATTTCCAGGCACTCCACCATAAGGGGAGTTTTTTTATGTCACATGTTTAGTCACATGTACTGAACCTCACATATTTAAATAATTTCACAAACACCCAAGTTTCTATATAATTTTCCTTTCTGTTTGTTTTAACAACAATTTTTGCTGATCAATTGTAGTACAAATGTATAACCATTGATTTATGTAGAACATGACCACTGTCATTTTTAACCACATAAATAACTAATTTCAACATTTCAAAGGGATTACTCAGGGATCCTTTTATTATAACACATTTGCAAAGGAAAATCTCATGGGCATGTGCATACTTTATATTACCTCTTGTAAAAAAACTGCCTCATAAAGTAATGTTTTCTCACCTGAGCAAGATTACTCTAGAGTTGGCTGAAGTGTGGAGACTCAGGGAGGAGACAGCCAGCCTGTCTTTGATATCACTGTTTAGTCTCTGGTAAAGAGATCTGGATGTGTTGACTGCAATCATCGCAGAAGGAAGTGTGTTGTCTAGTCTGAGGACCTGGACATCCAACAGTGCTCTGCCGTCTTCTTTATATAGCAGTGATGAGGATGATGATGATGATCCAGACCAGAAGATTAGAAAACCAAAGTCACAAACACTAATAGCAGCAATTGTAAAAACAGGTACAAACACGTACTATACAGTCATTCTGTATGAATTAGAGACCAAGCTCGTTTGACAGAGCTGAAGTCCGCACTGGCAGACATCAGAGAGCTGCAGCTCAGGCGATGAGGATAGATGCCTTTTAAGGGCATGTTCAACTGTGTTTGATTCCACTTGATTCTGCTGTTCCAGAGACAACACTGATGTGAGGTCGTGTGTGGTGCTACAGTGAGTTATGCAGCAGAAATATGACATTAGAATAACACATAAAGCTGGAGTTAGTTTATTTGCTCAACTATGACCCTGCTTAATCGTTTAAGAAAATACAGTTGAAGATGAAATGCACAAATACATACTGAGAGAGAAATAGGAGAGATGTGAACACATTTGTATATTTTAAAGAAGTATGAACCATAATTCAACTCACCACGTGACAGTGTTCCTGGTTCCTCATTCACAGTTGCTTTAACATTAAAAATGTGTTAGTCCACTTTTATAACACGATCTAAAATCCTTCTGTTCTATCAGCTCTTACTGTGACATGACAAAGTGTGAAAATGTGCTTGAGGAGAACATAACAATGACAGCTGATTCTCTGTTTCACAATCACCTCGTCGGAAGTGTGTGTGAAAAATGCTTCCTGCATCTAAACTGGAAGTAGTCTCTGTTTTTATAAACAATCATATCTTTTTACAGCTGGAGGAACGAGTCTAGGTAGTCTAAATTTCTGTGCAGCTTCAACAAAGACAAACAACGCTGAAAGTTGCCCCATACTTTGATTCCAGCTAATGCTACAAAAAGGCCAGCTAGCACCCACAGTTTAGTTTTATGTTCAGTTGAAATGTGACAGAAAAATGCAGACACAGCAAAGTCACTATACATTCATAAAAATAAATCCAAAGCACGATCGTGGCACCATGTAGCTCTAATCAATCATCAAACTAAATATGTAAAATATAATATGTAGATTGATGCTAGTGCATGTGTTTCTGTCAAACGATTAAAAAATGTTTCCTGCCTATATCATTAACATTCAAACTAGAAGATATGAAACCATATTGATCCCTCCACCTTCATTAATTTAAATGGAGTGGACAAAATATTAGAAACACCTGTATAGCACAATACAATTAAACATCACTACTTTCAGTCTCCACAAGGTTATTGAATCAACACCTCTAAGAAAAACTGAACATTACAACTGTCACAAAGGTAGGGCTGTTGTATAACACGATAAGAGAGAATAGTGGAACTTCTGTGAGGTGGTATATAATTGCAACAAGGAATTTTTCCTCTGAACATTACTAGCACTTCTGCTTTCTGTTTATACAGTAATTATAGATCTTTTATCTCAAGCTGGTCTTAGCAGGAAATGCATGCAGTAGGTGACACTTTTACCATTAGGAATGTCTCTGCTCCATTTAAGTGTCTTAAGTGTTTTTTTTTTACAGCAGACATTTTGACTTGTCATTGCAGGTGTGATTAATAACCACAGATCATAACTTGTATCAGCAACTTTTGTCAGTGAGCAGACGTACACAGGGCCTACTATTATTATCCTGCTATCTCTTGGCAAAACTAATTTGAATGCCACACTCATTAAATTAACATGTCATTTTTCTGTTATGACATATCAAAAAAGGTCTGTTAAGTCTTGTATTTCTCTCATATGTCCCCCTCCATTCAAAGACGTGTTTTGTTAATTGTTACTTCACTGTGCAGAATGCTGTATGTGCAAAGTTTGACACATTCATCTGCTAAAAGAGGAACGTTTCTCTGTGCTTACGTCAAATCTGAGTTTAGGGTTACATCTCTTATGAGCATGACTGCGGGATATCACAACTAGTTTGGAAACCAATCATGGTTCAATATGCAACTTACACAAGGGTGATGTGGAAACAAGAAAACCTCAGAGCACACACACTGGGAATGGACGTTTCAATGAAGTAGACACCTTGCATTCAACACTTAAACTTTTGAAATTAAAAATATGAGCATATTCAAAGATTCCGGACTTTTCAATGAGGGGGAAGAAGGCTAGTAGATGCAATGTAAAAAACAAGTTAAGTTAACTTTTTTTGTCTAAAAAAACTTATAGGACACAAATGATCATTTAGAAACAAACTATTTCTTTAGGCCTATGTCTAAAAAACATGAATGGAGATCTTAACCTTTTCATGCATGGTGTCCACATCTGTGGGCAGTTAACTCCATTTTATGATAATATATCATGGTTATGTTCTCCGAGCCACTTGAGGACAGTGTCAGATGATTGATAACAATATTGTAAAAGTGGTTCCCATCTTGTATTCCAAATATTCATTGCTTGATGACCCCATCAATCCAAGACTAGTAGTGATGGCCATTTGCTAAATGCCTCAGGCAGATCTGTACAAAACTTTTAAAGAGATCAATCGAGGTAAAAACAAAATAGCCCTAGTATTATGTACAGTAAAGTATGACTGATGTTTTTATAAATGTTTTATAAACTAAAATGTAGTTTTTATGCACCAAATATCAGCTGTCCATGTATGTGGACGTCATGCAGTGGAGTCAGATAGCATTAAGTCATTAAGTCTGATTTCTGTAACCTGCTAGTATATCTATTCCACTTTTTTAAGGTGATAAATTGTATTATAATAACACTTTTAATAAATATAAGAACATAAATAACAATGCATAGTGGATATTAAAGCATTAAATGGCAACATATGATGGCTTTGCAGGTTTTCACATGAAATAAGAATAAGTAGCCCTATTGTACTCAGTTTAAACTAGAACTATGTAATTGTTACATCTGGGATGTTGATATGTTATTACCGAGATGATTCACTATGAAGTTAGATAAGGATCAAAGTATGCTACTGGGTTTCCGCAAACATGTCACTACAGTTATAAATACTACAGTAAGTGTTTTTCCTCTGAAATATGTGTTTTTATGTAAAGCACACTGAATTGCACATGTGTATGAAATGCACTCTATAAATAGATTTGTCTTGCCTTTTAGTTTTCAATAATTGAGCTTAAATACATACAATAACATGACATAAAAAACATAGGCCTAATAGCTATTCCATATTGTCAGGTGTGGCATTTTACACCTTTGTTGCATTGTGACCACATACCTGGACAGTTAAACAATCTAAAAATAAAATTTTGTCCAAAATATATAAAAATAAATAATAACAATAAAATAAACAAATGGATTTCCATTTTAGCACAATGTTGAGTGATAAAAACAGGCTATTCTTTAAAAAAATCTAGGTAGGCCTAATGTTTTTAATAATTTATGCATGAAATGTTAATGGAAAGTTGGAAAGCAGGAGCCTTTTTTATTATGCTTCTATTAGGCTTTTAGTATCATTCCATATCAATTGTCAGCCATATCTCACAGGTAACGTCGGCAGAGAAGCAGAATTTATCATGTGAACTGAGTTGATAACTGTGCATCCCAAACCTGATCTGGACTTGAGGCAGCAGCAGTCCATTGTTTGCTCCTCTGTGCAACTTGGTTCACGGGAACCAGGCCGGAGTGGGCGCTCTAAATGTTCTGCTCCTCTCAGACCTCTAACGATCTCATTTCTATGCCTCTCTTCAGTCAATAAAACTGAACCGCCTCCTCGGCAGTTGCCACGGAGAAACGATCCCGATCCATTCCCTGTTGTCTCGTCCGCGTTTCCCTGACAACGTCTACACAAATCCAGGAAAACATCCGGAAAAGACCCTCTGGTCATTCCTTGGATCTTCCGTACGTGGAATAACTGCAGGATTTGGTTATTACTGGACAATAGCTTATATTTTCTAAAAACATGACGACTTCTCCCCTTCCTGTCTTGGATAACAGCGACCCTCGTCTAAAACTGACGGTGGAGAACAGAAAAAGAAATATTTTTGTAACACAGTCGGAAGACACCAGGTTTGCCAGTGCTTTTATTAGCCTATATAAACTTCCATTCTCTTTAAAACCCTTTTATGAACGTTTCTATTGAATAGCGTTGTTATTACAAAATCTATTTTCTCCTCAGACATAAAAAGCAGGAAAATGTCAACTACATACCTGTTGTAACAGAGGTAAGTAAAAAGGATTTGTTTTCAACCTGTGGAATTAAGAAATAAAATTTATAAATACAGAAAATTAAATTTTTGTTGCCTGTGATGATGACTCACTTTGTAGGATCTTTTAGTGCATGAAAAGCCTTTGTGTTTATGCAGCTAATTGTATTTTTCACATGTGCAGACTTCAAGCAGAGTCCTTGAAGCAGGAGTGAACACTTTGCAAAAGACTCTGGTTCTGAAGAAACAGGCTGAGTTGGATGAGGTGGACAAGCAACTCGCATTCAAACAGCAAGAGTTTAAGAGCTGCTTGGAGGCTCTAGCTCAGAGAAGGTCTCAACAGGAAAAAAAACAACAGCAGGTGACTTGAAACCACCCAAAATTACAACACAAGAATGAGGGAGTGGATTTCTGTCACTGGCAGCGTCCTAAAACAGTTTTCCTTTGGGGTTTGTTTACCCAGACTAAAGAGAGGGCGATTAAATTTGAGAAGTTTGTGGCTGAAAATGAAGTGAAGCGACGCCGAGCGCTGAAGAAGTATGAGGCTGCACGGGAGCAGAACATATCGAAGCAGAGAGAGATAGAAGATCTGACAGAACAGCTGAAACAACTCCGGAACAGGTAACAACTTTAAACCAAAGCCTTCATATGGTAATACTGAATATGTCACATTTGACCTCAGATTTACCATGTCTCAACTCACAGACAGCATGTTTTAAAGGAGAGAATGGCAAAATACAAAATCTATGAGGACTACTTGATGAAAACACTGGATTATCTCCCCAGCAGTAAGTTCAGAACTGACATGTGTTGCATTTCATGAGTGACACCTTTACATCTACCTGTTCTGCTCATCCTTATGAGTTATTTACACACTGGCTGTAAGATGGACCAAACTGCACAATATATATTTTTTTTCAGTTTACCTTGATAATGGGTCTGAATCTTTGGTTATGCCCATTATTCGGCGCCATGAGACCCTGTCCATCACCCACCAGGAGCTGCTGCAGCGATTGGGGCGTCTGGAGGATGAGGTGGAGCAGGGCCAGCGACTACTGCAGACCATGAAGCAGGAACACAGCATTAAAAAATTGGTCAGACACAGATATTCACTGCAGTTTTTCTTAATTACCAGTGCTTGAAGGAACAACGTATTCAAGTTTTTGTGTGTGTGGCAGTTGATCAGTAAGGAACTGTCTGAACTCCAGAGTGAGTTGGAAACCCTCAAAGAGAAGAACAAGCAGACAGAGGTTAACCTGCTGATGGAGCAAGGCCTGTCCAGAGTGAAGGTGTGCCTTCAAGATTATGAGTTGGCAATGACCCTTAGCTTATTTGCAGATAGGAGTTTTGATATATACTTATCACTCAGGTTGAAGAAGTGGGAACTTTGCTTATGGCCATCAACAGCCTTGCAGAGCAGTGTTATCTACCAGCATATGGACCTCTGGAAAACATGAACATACTGACAATGATGGACATGGTGAAGGTAAAATCTTCATAAGTTGTTGTTACTATGCTAATAATTTAAGCTCCTTGACCTAACCACAGATTTGATTTCAGGAGTACATTGTGGACAAGGCAGACACAGAGAAGAGAGCAAGGAGACTGATGGAGTCAGGGTCTGCAATGACGAGTAGAACAGCTCTGACAGACAAAAAAGAGAGGGGATCAGTGAAAAGCATCGGCAGTAAAATACAAATCAAAAGTAAAGTCAGCAGAAAGAGTGAGACAATGAGTTGATGTACAACCTTTAGATCTCAAGTTTGTTGTGTCAGAAAGTTCATTTTTGACCTTGGAAGTAGTAGTTTGACAATAGCTTACTTTTGAAATGTAACAGAACATGACAACATGAAGACTGTGAGATGCAGTGGACATTTTAGATATTTTTGTTGACATTTAAGAGTTGTTTGACTCATAAATTGTGTGAGTTTGTGTAACAGAGGCTCAGTGTTCAAAACTCTTTATGGAAAATCCTATACACCAAATTTTGCACTTTTATTCAGCTTTTTAAAAATTTTGACCATTAGAACTTTTGTATTTGTGCATTTTTACTCTGTGTATCTCTGGAATGGAATAATTGTTGCATTTTAAAAATAAAATGCTCGCAATCAAATAATGCAGACAGACAGCACGGAGTTATCAAAATGGAGTGTGACATGGTATGTATGCAATTTTCTTAGATTTTGTATTCATTACATCTTCATATCTTATCTTATATGGAGTTGTAGACTGTTGAATAGAGAGTGTGCACTTGTGACAGTTTGCCCCATTGGCAGGTAAATTGTCACACTGCATTGGGCAAGTTGTCACACTAGATTATCTAACAGTTAGAACACTTAGGCACAACGTCTTTCTTTGAACTTTAAAATCAAACGTTCTCTGGAGTGCAAATAGATCTATGGTAATTGAATGTAATGCTGCAGATAACTTGCTTAAATGCATAACTTCTTAACTAAACAGATGTGGTGTTTAAACAGGCCTGAGGTGCAAGCATCGCAGGCCCATTTGTTGCATTTGACACACTTAAACCACGTCTTCTTTGGAATACTGTATGAAAATAGCTCCGCATAGATGAAGTCAAAAGAGATGTCAGCAGCTTTTGATCGATTTGTTGTTCAACTTCACCTGCCTGGCTGCCTTTAGCATCATGTCAAGTGGTGTAATCTCTCTGTCTTCTGCTGATAATTTTCGTCCTTCCTTCAAAAACACATTCCTCCTTGCAAATAATAATTACAGGCTTATTTGTGTACTACCCTTGTTGCCTAACTAAATTAATAACTGAATGATGTAGTGTGTGTGTGTGTGTTTGTTTGTGTGTTTGTTTGTTTGTATCTACTAACACACTACATGCCTACAGAACAGGAAGTTGAACAAAATGGCTATTTGATTTTTGACATAGAGCCTCTAGTGTTGGGAGTTATGAGCAGTGTGACAACTTACACACGAGACAACTTACCCTGCTCTCCCCTACAGTAAATATAAAGTAGTAGATAATCTTTCCTCTTGTATCACATCATATCATGCAGGGCCAAGTGTTGCGCACATGTGCATTTCCCATTCTGCATCTAAACACCAAATGTTAGCAGCAAAGCAAATTCTGGGCTGCTCCATGTTGTTCGACACTGCCATACAGGTTTTCTTACAGCGTTGTAGTGCAGACAGTGATCACCATTTGATCACCAACTAGCTATGATGTAATGCTTCTCCTCTCGACAGTGCAGCTGAAGCAGCAAAACACGTTAATCCTTTTATTAATTCATGCATGGTGCAAGTAAAGTGATTTTAAAGGCGGGCACGTCTGGGTGTAGAGGTTTTGATCGATTCATATTGCCCCTGTTTGATGACTGAAGTTGATGACTTGTGATGAATATTTGATATTTTATGATCCTGTAATGTATTATTTATTTTCAATGTAAATTGTTATGTTTTTTAATCTGCAATCCTGTTAATTGTGCTGCTGCCTGTCCTGGCCAGGATGCTCTTGTAAAAGAGATTTTTAATGTTTTTTTAAAGATTTTAATCTAAGACTATGTGGTTAATTAAAAGGTTTTAATAAAAATAATAATAAGAAGAAGACGAAAAAGAAGAAGAATTAGTATTTCATTAAAGAGAAAGGGTACCTCCAATGGACTGTTTGACACCTATACTTTCAGGGATTCCAAGCACACCCACTTACTGATGACCAGCGGTGGACAGTTACATTTACTAGTAGTAGCCCAGTAGTACATTTATTCAAGTATTTTACGTAGTAGACAGTTTTGAAATACTATTACTATAGGCTACTATTGAGTTTTTCCATTTGATGGAGGAAATATTCAACTTTTCATTACACTGCAATAATGTGACAGCTTTTATTTGTTACTTTGGAGATACACATCAACACATATGATGCATTATTGTATATAAAATAGTTAAAATTAGCCCCACTTCGACCTGATAGGTTGAAATACAGTATAACAGTGTGATATTTTAGGTACAATTTGCTTAATCGTGAGTAAGATTTTGAATGTAGGATTTTACTATTAAAGTATTTTTTAAAATTTTTTAAATTTTTTTAATTTTTACAGTTAAGTAGGCTATTGCTAATTTGACTTTGCAGTAGCCTAGAAGTAACAGGGAGAAGGCTAACCCACAATAATAGGCTAATGTGACTAGCCACGTTTTGAGCTAAAACATGTTACACTAGTTTCTATTTTTAGAATGATTCTTCGGCTCAATGACTTTTCGTTTACAAAAAGTCATTTACAAAGGCATGCCTCCAGCATTAATCAAACTATGTATTCTACTGTCCCTTTAACACGAACACGTGGTACCTGCAAACATCCGGTTTGCAGAAAAATGGAAATACAATTGCAACAATGTTTTGACACACAGCGTTGACGCACGGAGTCTTGCCAAATTGTAATTACGCTTTCATACATCGTTTCCATGTTGTTGAAATGCGGAGGTAACGTTATGGCGTGTGGCCAGCCGACGCTTGAAACTGCTGTTTGGTCTCGTAGTCAGTAACGCTGTTTGTTTGTCGACAGATGGAGGCTGGCTGTCTTGTCTCGTCCAGGGAGGACATTTCTTCGCTGTTTCCTGAGCTAACGCCGGGTACCAAATACAAAGTAGGCAGGGGTGGGTTGGTGTACTGCTGGTGGGCATAGTTATCCCTCTTAACTCAACGAATCCACCATATATTAATCACACCCATTGTCCTTTGTTAGGATTTAAGCAGCCAGTTTTCCTCCGTCAGACAAGTGAGCGGGGATGGGAACTGCTTCTACAGAGCCCTCTGCTTCGCACACTTGGAGTCAGTCCTACACAATGCCAGGGCTTTGCAGAGGTCAGTTGTCGCCATCAAAGCCATTTGTCCCAACTGAAGTCACTTCAGATGTATAGTGGCGTTGTCTTATTGGTTTCACTTTCAGGTTTAAGGAGAAGATTATTCAAACCTGCCAAGACTTGTCTTCTGCGGGATTTCACGAGAGTTCCTTCAAACACCACCTCAACACAGTAAATACTGCGTTTCATTTTACAGTCACACCATTTAGGCTATTTCACCTAAAAGATAGCATTAGGTCTTTAAAATAAATGACAGGCTTAGATAAGAACGATAAGGTAATATATAGATAGATGGATAGAGAGAGAGCAATGGGAATCCGAAATCACTGTAGGCAATGTCAAACAAGAACAGGAAAGTTAGGCAAAAGACAAGCCAATTTAAAAATTGGAAAAAAAGGTAGGCCTACACAAAGCTATGACAAAAGTGACCTGGGACCTATTTGTACGATACACTCAAAATTCCATGTTGGGCCTTTGGGTAGTGTATAGTACAAGATCGATGCAAGTTATATCTAACTCAACTCAGTTTTCTAAAATCTTACTGCATAACGTCATTTCAGTCACAAGTTATCTTCCAGAATGCAAAGTCACTTTTCTAATATAGCCTACTGTTATTGTACTTGAGCCTGCCACAGTCAGTCCACCATTTTAACTAAAACATGCAGATTTTTAAAAGTAAAACATTCTGTATATTTAGAGGGATAATTTGTAACCATCTGAAAATCTCACGTTCATGAATGAGGTAAGTACTTACACATAGCTCCTTGCTGTGTGTGATTAATCTGGTAGTCCAGTTATTAATAAAGTGCAGCGAATGAAATCAGATTATACGAGGCACACATGTACAATTAGGAGCAAGAGCTTTTGTAATACCAATGACTGGAAATACCTAATTGCTGCTGTTCCCATGAAGGTCGTAAATGTAGTTGAGCAGTGCCAGGCTGATGAGCAAGAAGAAAGGCTGCTCAGGCTCTTCAATGAACAGATGACCTCCGACAGCGTGGTGCAGTATCTCCGGCTGCTCACGTCGGCACACCTGCAAAACCATGCAGACTTCTTCTGCAACTTTGTGGAGGCACCCAATCTACAAGCCTACTGTCAACAAGTTAGTAACAAGTTGTTGCTGCCATCTAGTGAAAAAATTCTCAAGGAAATGCAACTGTCAAGTTTGGTAATGTCGGTGTTGTCTTCATTCAGGAAGTGGAGGCCATGGCGATGGAGTGTGACCATGTGGACATCTTAGCTCTTTCACAGGCCCTGGATATTTGCATTCACATAGTCTCCATGGAGGGTGATGAACAGCAGTTGGCTCATCACATCATTCCAGAGGGTGCAGAACCCTCCCTGCACCTCCTCTTCCAAACGTCACATTATAACATTCTCTACCCACGACCTCAACACTGACCAGTGATCCAGTGGGACTCAACTCAGGAATATTGACATAGGTTGAAAAAAAAAATCCCAGCTGGGCTTTAAGACACTTGTGAAAACAGATTTTTATAAAATCTTGCAGTGTACAGCGTATTGAACGACATCTGGAAATACAATTTTTGCACATTGTGCAATAAGTATATAAATGATTTGAAATGAATTTATGTAAACAAACAATTACATAAATCCTGTCAAAGATGGACTTTTTAAAACACACATTCCCCATTAACATGTCACTGCTGCTGTTTTTTCTTCTGCTTTTTCTGCTGTGGTGGAACCCCTTTCTTTAACTTCTGTTTCTCCTCCTGTATTGAAATCCTGGTAAGGGCACTTTCCATCCCTGCTAGAGGCATGTGAGGCACGGAGAGCTTTCCCATTTGAGTGGGATACTTGGTCTTTGTCACGTTCTTGAATATAGGCTGGCAGATCAAATGCTTCAAATGCTTTTTCATCCCCTTTACTATCTTCTGCTGCTCTCTGTCACCGTCCTCATCCTGTGCTCTGCCTGTGGAGATAGATTGCATATTTAGTTGTCTGTATTTGAACATTTTAAAATAAAGTGAAAACACTACTGGAGATTTTGTGCTGTGTTGGTCTAACCAATTAAAAGATCATCATCCAGGTCCACCTCCAGGGCCTCTGCTGCTTGTCTGAACCAGGAGTTGTGGTGCTTCTCTTTGCTATTGTGGAACTCAATCTTCTCTATCTGTCTGGCCAAGTTCACCCGTTCCTGTGGAGGAACACACTCGACAATCAAAAATATTAAATATAATCTTCAACGTCCCATAAAGACAGGACCTAATGCTGGGTCTCACCTTGATTGCTTCCATGCATTTGATCTCTATAGGGAACATGGGAAGGTCCTCATCCTTCCCAAGGGCCTTGTAAATCTTTTTGAAGTTCATCATGTCATCTGGGCCTATTAGCAGCAAACTGAGACCCTCTTTGGTGGCTCTTGCTGTTCTGCCACTCCGATGGACATAAGTCTCAGATGTCCTGGGAACCTGGTTTGGGTTACAGTTAAACAGTACCCCTCGTTTTTCATAGGTCACAATTAATATGTTTGAATAGAAGTACTGGTATAAACTTTTTTTTTTTTGTTTAAATAAATAAATATGGAAAAGTCAAAAAAACTTACCTGGTAGTGAATAACATGCTGAACATTGGGGATATCCAGTCCTCTTGCTGCCACATCAGTAGTCAGTAGAACACAACTGTAAATAAAATTTGAAATTTAAGCGCTGTAAGGAATATGACAGTGAGCACGTGGCTACTACTTATTACAAGAACCAAACAAATAATCTGAGCTTAAAATACATATCTCAGTGTGTTTTATTTATATTATAATTCTACATTTTTTGACTTCGATTTTTTAATTTATTTTATTTTTTTAACCAAGGGAGACCTTGCCAAGATGGTAGCAACAACAGCGCGAGTACAGGCAAAGAGCCCTCAAGTTATTTCTCCACTTTGAGTGAATAAGCTCTTCCCCATTAAACCCCACCCCAAAAAAATTGAATATCTTGCTTATTTTAATTGGCGAAACTACTGTGATTGCAAACTTATAACATAAATAAATAAAATACATAACATAAATAAAATCAATATATAATGATGAATGATAAAACTCTCCATGATGGAACTGGATATGGGAAACATAATCCAGAGCTCTTCGCACATACCTGATAAAACCTTTAAGCCTGTAATTGCAGGTAACAGGTTTTTATTTTTCATCATATGTACACAATTACAAGATTAAGTCCCATTCTAAAGAAAATACCTTCAGAACGCTACTCTAAGTGTGTGCAAAACTTACCTCTCCCTCTCAGCAAACCTTTCCAGGTTTTTGAGGCGTTGTTTCTGGTGCATGTTGGCATGAAGCGGCAGAGGAGTACGGTCCAAGATAACCAGCAGGGAGTTCAGTCTCTTGATACATTCTATACTGTTGGCAAACACCATGGTGCGGCCAGGATACTGGAGCAAAAAGTAGTAAAGGTAGAAGTCCTTCTCCTCCTTCTGACAGTGGATTCGTGTCTCAGTCAGGGTCTCCACAGTTGCCTCCTTCCTGGTCAGGTCAATGATTTTGGGTTTGGACTTGATGCCCACTTTCTCCATGAGAATTTCCAGCTGGTTCCTCTGGTCCAGATTCTTCTTCTTCTTCTTCTGCAGGAGGCGGGTGGGCAGGCTGCGAGCCATGGTCAGTGTGGCCGAGAACACAAATGTTTGCCTCGTGGGATTAAAGTGCACGGTGTTCAGCATCTCCAGCAGACTCTCCAGCTCTGCAAAGTGGCCTCTTTCAATCATGCGATCTGCTTCATCAATGACCAGGCACCTGTGGAATAACAACTGAGAGCAGTTAATAAAAGGTAGCATGAACCAGTGGTACCAGTTTAGCTTTCAAACATTTTGCTGCTGCCTCTGCCATTTGTTTGACAATGACGGCACAGGGACCCTTCCTACAAATAACAATAATGTGCATGGTCAATGCTAGGTGTCTCTGCTTTCACTGCTGGTTGTACTTATGCTGTGTTCACACTGAAAGCGAATCCAGCATTTGAGTGGCTTGATTACATACAAAATAAATGCAAAGAGGCAAATTCGCTCCGGGTGGTGCAGAAGATGCGTTTGTTGCGACATTCGCAGGACAAATTTGCATAACGCTATGCTGCGAAAGCCTATCAGCGGTGAGACTGTCTGGACGTGCTGGACTACTACTTCATGTTTATATAGAAAAAAACGGACAAAACTGGACATTGCTTAGCAAAAAGAAAGCGAGGAAGTTGAACTACCTGGTGAGTTCAGAAAATATGCGTGTGTAACTTTATTCTAGCTATCGTTGTACTTTACTGTCAACAAGTTAGCATAGCATAGCCCTGATCGATCCAAACTCCATTCAGAAAAAAAACATTTAAAAAGTTGTTGTCCTGCTGACTTGCTGACAGACCTGACAAGGCATTAATTCATATGTCTAACAAATCGGCATCATATTGTAGTTATTTTGGTATCAGTTTGATCTGTTTATTGCAATTAAATGCCAACAAAATGTTTACTTTGGGTTCACATAGCTGCAATATTCGCAGGTTGTGTGTGTGTGCTTATCTCGTTGTGTGTGAACACTCAGCAGTTGTCCAGCGATAAAACCTGCGCAAGGAAAGCGTTATGAGGATTAAATTTGCGGTGTATGTGAACACAGCATTAAGGCTATGTGATGTTAATCAAAAGGCATGGATATCTTGGATTGTTTCTTCTTTATACCATTCATGCATAATTTCAGAGCATTTTAGATGCAGTATATATTTTATCTGTGTTTTACATCTTGTATAGAAATGGGCTAATATGGCCCCTCCTGACTGGCCTGTAAAAATCCAAACACGCTCCGTATTAATGTTTCACTCTAAATATGAACATGTTGCGGTAAAAAAAACATTTATGGCCATCCACCGACCTTTCACTGGCTTTGTGTTGTGATGATGTGATCATAACAAATAAAAAATTCTGATTTCCAAATTATTGTAATTCAAAACTCTTAATTTGTACTGATTACTGAACTGTATAGTTGGTCAAGGAGGTGTGAAGGGTGACCTACCTGAGCTGTCTCAAGTTCAGCAGATGTGGATGCCTCTCCTTGATCAAGTCCCACAGACGTCCTGGAGTGGCAATAATGATCTCTGGTCTTCGCTTCAGCATCCTCCTTTGTTTCTGTTGTGCCATTCCACCCACCACTATCGCCGTTTTGATTTCTGCACAACAGCAACATTTCAGTATCTAGACATTAATAATTCTGTTAAATTAATTTTAAAACATTTTTAAAACTTGAATGACTTACCAGAGAATTTTGCGACAGCGTCAATATGGTGCTTGACCTGAACAGCCAGCTCCCTGGTGGGGGTAAGCACCAGTCCAAGCAGAGGCTGACTCCGACTACCAACAGGGTTTTCTTCCTCTTCAGCGGTGGGCTCAAAGTCAAAATCTGCATTTTCGATTACTTTAACACACCTAAGCCTCTCATCATCATCATCTTCTTCATCTTCACCGTCATGTTCATCTGTATCATCTTGATCCTGCTCTGTGATGCTTGCACCATCTTCTTCCTCAGACTTCACGTCGTCGTCCTCGTCTTTTTCTATTGTGGGTTCAGCTGTGTCTCCTGACTTTGTGGACTCATCTACAGATGGTAAATACAAACTCACCACCTCTCTGGTTGGTTCTGTGCTGTCATCAACAGGCCTTTCTGAACCAGCCCTCCACTCCAGGATAGTATGGATCATGGGAATGCCAAAAGCCAATGTCTTCCCACTTCCTGTAATGACATGCTTACATGAGCTTCACATGTGGAAATATGAGGACAAATTGGTCCTTATTGGACCAAAAGGTATTTTATATTCTTGACATTCTTACCTGTCTCTGCCGCCCCCAGGATATCCATACGATCTCTGATAGCTGGAGGCAAAGCCAGGGCTTGAATAGGGGTTGGTGACCCAAATCCAAGACTGCTCAGTGCCTTCAGCACAGGGGAGGGAACAAACAGGTCCTTCCATGCACTCACATCAATATTTTTGTCATTAGAGCCATTAAGTGCTGCATTTGTCCAATTCTTTTGCTGCTTTTTGGGGAGTTTTGTCACTTTATGTTGAGCTGATTTTTCTTTTTCTAGAGTCTTAAGTTCTGATGGAGACTCCAGGTTTGGCTGTTCTTCTGGGACTGTATCTGTTTCTTTCTGCTCCTTCGGTTTCTTTTTCTTTTTGTTCTTCTTCTTTGCTAGTTTTGTTTGGGCATCAGGTTCTGAGCTAATGGCTGCATGTGTTAATGTGTCTTTTTTAGCAGCTCCACCTTCATCTCTCTCCCCACCTGCATCCTCCTGTGTGACTTCTGCAGAAATTTTACCTGGTTGGGCTGACTCCTTTGCAGCCAGTTTCTTATTTTTCTTCTTCTTTTTGGCGTTTTTCTTGGCTGGTTCAGCTGATTTATCTCTCTCTTTGGTCGCCGAGTCTACCTTCTCTCCAGCCTCCTCTCCCTCGCTGGCTTTTCTTTTCTTCGTCTTCTTTTCCTTTTTCAGTTCTTGTGCTGCTTTAGCTGCAGCCTTCTCGGAGTCTATCAGACTGTAATTTGTCAGCTCTTCAAAACACACCAGGCCCTCCAGGCCCTCCTCGGAGAAGAGACTAGGATCAAGTTCTATGGCTTTCCATTTGCCTTTCACATGGATACTCCGTTTGTCCTTTTTCTTCAGCCCGAAGGACATATGCTTATTTTTCGTCTTCATCTTCTTTGTCTTCATTTTCCTACAAATAAACACACTAACCAGGTTACGCCAATATGTTGCCTCCCATAAACTGCGCTGTTAAAAGTGTATGAAGTTAGCTAGTAGTAGCAGCTGGGTGCCGAGGCTCTGTAACTACATTTAAAATGCACGTAAATATAACAGATTCGATTGGCTTGGAAAACCATAAACAACTCTACAATAAGTAGAAATAAAAACACATATTTAAAAAGTACTACCTTGACCGTCTGTGGTTTCTTGAAATGACAAAATAGTGTTACAAACGATAACATTTACGCATGACACGAGGAGGCAGCCATGACAGTGCCGATCACATGGTTTGAAAAACTTTATTTGACAGTCTATGGGTTACACACACACACACACACACGCACAGTGAAGTCATGTAATCTAACATGTACACACTAAACTGGCATTAACAAGTACTTCCTGCAACTATTTGTCCTGTCTATCAATCAAAATATTTTAAAATCTTCTATTTGAAATGATCTGGTGATCATCTTCATAAAGTCAGAAATTAATACAACTCAGACAGAGTAAAACTAATTTGACTGAGCTCAATGTTTGAGCTAGGACACACATCTAATTAAGACAGCAAAGGTTCACAGGCCATCTACATACAATTATAAATGTAAATAGTTAATTTGTTAGTGGTTTTCAATCAAGTCTGGAGTTTATCATGTTAACATATTTTTAATGGTTGTTGTCCAAACCCCATAAATAGGACCTTATTGGAAAGTGGTACTGATGTATTTGACTGAAAACAATTTATTAATTTACTCATTATATGGAAAGTGATACAATTACTGTGGCGCTCAAATGTATCTACCCAGCACTGCTTTTATTTAGTATGTGCTTTGCCCACATCATTGTTTGAAAGCTGAAATGATTTGATTAAATACAAAAGAAAGGCACACTTAATATGTAAATTCTTTATTATTAGGGATCACACAGGCTTACAAACAGACTAGAACATGCATTCTAAGCCAGATTTAAGCTTAAAAATGCATAAAAATAAACCTTTTAAAAGCCTGAATAAACACAGTGTCATGTGCAAACACTTCAGAACTTCAACAGTACATGTCATGAAGTCATGACTGCTAGTTTTCGGTGGGGTTGATCACTCTGCCCATGAACAGCAGACAGTTTGTGTCTTCATGGTATATGAAGAAGAAAAATGGTCTGTTGACAATGAAGGTCCTGGGTAAGGAATATGCAATAATGCCACTTGTGGTGGCAGCAGCTGCAGTGGTCCCTGTCTCATCCACCTCAATCACAGCCTTGTGCAGCACCTGTGATTTTACAGTAGAGATTAAAAATTAAATCATCATCTGCAGTGGTTGGAATAGTATGTTGTAAGAGCATGGTGGAATTGAAAACTTACCTCTGACACTTTGAGCCCTTCATCCTTACTCAGCTTTGTCAAATTGGCTGAATTACTGAAGACACTGGCCATGCCCATATCTGGTAGAAGATTGTGAAGGGAATACGACTGCTCCATCTTGAATTTGGGCATGTTGACTTCCAGTTTGCTGTGAACAAGACGTATAGCCTTACTTGTTATCTAGCTGTAGGTATTTTATATCATACTTTTGCATGTTTGTTGCTGGGTGCTTTTTAACAGCACCTTTCTAGAGAATATGGATTTTAAAATAGTAGAAAAAGCTAAAGAACGACTGACAGGTGGGTGTAAAACACGAGTTTCTATGCACCTACATTTTTTGCAGCTTTCTGATCCAGCTGAGGAACCTCTCAGCAGTTATCTCATCATCAATTGCTGTGTAGTCTATGCCTTTGTTGGGTAGAAGGATAAGCATGGAAACTCCTTCCTGGTATGGTAGCTTCAGCACTCTGGCACCAAGAGGGATATCGTCTATTGTGTAGAACTTATCTTCTTTAAACATCATCTGCACTTGCACAACACTATAGTTGTCAATGTAGAAGGGTGCATTTTCAGTGAAATTGGGGTTGAAAGGCATCTGCCAGGCTCCTGTGGAGGAAAAAGTAGGTCTACTTTTAGTTTATTAAGGGTCAAAGGTCAAAACAGTTAAACAGAGTTAAAGCAGTTATTAACAACCCAAAATAGCATACAAGAGTGGTTCAAATTACCCTGGAAGAAAATTGTGTTGATTAACATGAGTTGGGTTAGTGCATCCAGGGAGGAAATCATCTCTGTCACTTTGTCCTCCGTCTTGCGCTTGATATACTCATTGATGAAGCGGATACTCCCTTTTGTGTCCGCAAAGTCAATTCTTTTGATGTCAGCGTCAAAAAATTTCTTGATTTGGTCCTCAAATGTCTTCTCCAACCCAAATTGCCAGTGCATAAAGAGAGCCATGCCTTGGTCCAGTTTCAGCGATCCATTCTGTGTGATGTTGTCATTAAGGAGTTGAAAGAGTTTTGGGATAAGATCGGGCTGGTCATCCCGCTCCAGTTGCTCCAGGTTGAGTCCCTTGAGTATTTCCTCATGTGTGACACCATCAGATGCCATTAAGAGAGCAGCAAAGCTAGTAGAGACGCTCAGAGGTGAGAAGAAGATGTTCTTGTCATGGTAGGTGGATATTTTCCTGTAGAGGTCCATGGCAAAGTCCACATTTTTGAAGGAAAGATCTGAGATGGTGGCACTTGGATGGTGTGCTTGGTGGACAGGAGCAAGGAAGCACATGGTTACAATGAAAATAAATCCCATCTTCATTTTGTGTACCACCATATTTTGAGTCGAAGAAGGTTTGGGTGCACAACCTGAAACACAAAGACATGTAGATATCAAAAGATATGAAAAAAGCACAATTGAATTGTGATCCATCCACAAAAAAATTATGAGGCAGATTAGATCTCATAAATACATTATTTGTTCCACTTATGTTACCACCAAAACCACTAGCATAAACTCAGTTACAAAAGGTAAAAGATAGTTGACTGAAATACATTTTTTCCATAATTCACTATCATACATACCATTCCACTTGGGCACGATTACGTCTGAAAGCTCCATCTATTATTTGGGGAAACAAAGTGCAAGTGTGCTCTGAGCGTTACATATTAACCAACACATACCGCCTGTTGTCTTGTTCCAAATGGAGTCAGAGCTGTTTTTTGAACATTCAGGACCTCTTTTTCAGAGGTGACAAAACAAGAACCATCAATAACTGCATATTAACGTTAAGTCACAAAAAATGACACGTGAGAAACTTCAGGAGGAGTGAATGTCACTTTAATCCTGGAGCAAGAACTGATACATTAAATGAAAGAATGTGCTATGGTAACGTGAAATATAATAAAAACAATGCGTACTTATTGTAAGGATGTAGTGACTGAAAATAATGTAATGATATAAACCCAACAGCCAACATTTTATACTCTTTCACAAGTGCATTTTAAAGATCCAAAGGAAAGAAAAACAGTAACGAAATCACAGAATCTTCTTGGAGTTCATCCAGCACAAGTCAAACATTGCATGACATCCAATACTTTTGTGGAGACATCAATATATATCCATGCTGAATGGTCATTGGTTCCAGAAAACATAATAACTGTAAACAAATTTCACTGTTGTAATGCTGTAATGTGGTCTATTCATTGCGCGTTTGTAACCACCTTTTGTTTTTTTTTAGGACTGCAATGAAGTTTGTATTGGATATTAGAGAGTTTCTAAAACAAGACATGGTCAGAAACAATGACAAAAAGAAATATATATATATATACACACACACACACACACACACACACACACACACACACACACACACAAAGTGTATGCACAGTGACACATTTGTGATATTTTGTTTCTCTTTGGATTTAAAATTATACAAATTATGAGGTTAAATAACAGTCACCCGTCATTGTCACTATTTTACTGTTATTTCCAAAGGCCATCAATCAGCCAATGACTAATTTGTAACATTGGTCTAAGTATTGTTGGAATACAGGATGAGTCAAATCAGTGCAATTAAACATGTATTTCAGGGGCTATAATACATGAGAGTAAAACTATCAACAATTTGTGAAGTTGCATTAAAGGAAGAAAAAAAATCAACAACAAAATTTTCTTTATAATTAGTTCCCTTAACGGTGAATGACAAATACTGATGAAGAGAAACAAGAGATGAAGTCATATACAATGTAGGCTGGTTGGACATGTAAGACTGTTTGTTTGGTTTTAGGTGATCACACTGTGCTGGAAAAATGAACAATGTATTCTATCTATCAGCTGCACTTTCATGGTGTTAACAGATTGCTTCTTTGTTCCCCATTACATGTCAACTTTTCCCGGACAGGATATGAAAACTATGCATCAGTCAAAAGTATCTTAGTCTCAGCCAATAGTTCTATAGAATTATTTAGTTTCCTGTCCTTCAAAAATGGACAAAACACAATTAGCGTTTGTGTGATCTTACATTATTCATTATGCCTACTTATATGCTTAAAAGGTAAAAAGCCACAACATTAAATTAATGTTGTTGTCTAAATAGTTAGGGAGTTCACCCTTAGACATTCATAAGTAAAATGATTGATGATGTCAGGAATAAATGACCCACACATGTTAGTGCTGCTGGCTAAAGGATATTTCAGTACATTGCAACAAGAAATGATTTTAAAACTGAAATGGTGTTCTTGTGGGGCAGGTGTTGCAATCACATATTATGTCCTACAAATGCAAATCCAATATAAAGGAAGGAGGCTCTGTCATTAGCTATCAAACTTTTAAATGTGGTCTTAACATTGGTCTCCTATGGCTTTCACAGAACACCCATCTCTGGAAGTATTCACCCCCACTCAAGTAAACACACTGTTTGTATGCTGAAAATTCCTTTCAATCTTTTCCAGAGGAAAAATTAGAATAAAAAACAGTATATAATAGAAATAGAAGGCGCCATGGTAAAAAGGCAATTGCAAACTTGGATTAACTGCATCATGAGCTCTGTGGTCACCCTTTTCCCAGCCTCAGTGAGTTAGATTAGACTAACTGCTACTTTTCTTTGTCTTTGTTCTCTTCCCTATAGCCTGTCAGCGAACTAACTAGGGGAAACGTGTCAGCCTTCTGACTGTCCTTATGTTCGCATGTGCAAAAGGTTAAGAGGAAGGAGCAAAGCTCCCTGTATGGGGTTCCCAATCCAGGTAGCTGGTAAACAGCATAGGCACACCTTTCACACCTTCTTCACTGGCTGTGCTTCTGTTGTTGGTCCTCTTCAGAGCCGGTGTTAACTGTTCCTAGAAGAGGGCTTAGGTTATTATATACACACGTCTTAAGATAGGCTTATTGATAAAAATTTATTAAATAATCTGCACTAGATTTATAGTAAAAATCAGATGTACTTACCTGAGCCACCTGTTGATTTTGTGTCTGGTTGTTGAGGAATGTTCGGGTGAGCTTGTTGGTGCTGCCTAAGACGTCAACAGAAAGAATCTGTTGTCAGAATCCATGCATTCATTTTCCGTTCACACAAAGGACGTGGACACAATATCATGAGCTCTTCATTTATATATTTATATATAAATAAAATGCAACAACAAAAATGATGGCCCCCCCCAAAAAATACCACCACAATAATGTTTATATGAATAGGTGTTGACATAAGCTGTCATTTTCAACAATACCTTTTAATTTGGACACATTTGCACTATAAAATTTAAAATAATAAAAATGCACATGCAGTGGTTTTTGCAGGACTATTGAATTAGATGTTTATAACGTTGTGACCACCCAGTGGTTGGTTAAACCTACCGATCAAAATAGGCTTGTCTCCTCTTTCGCAGTTCCTCGGCTGTGAGTGCGTCACTCTGGCCTTCTTTTTGTCCTCCTGCAGCAGTCCCTGCTACCTGGCTCCCTGATTTCACATTTCCCATTTCAGACTCTGAGGACTTGTTGCTCATCACTGCTCCTGTAATATTATAAAAAAAGACAAAGACCCAATTACTGACATGAACCTGGAATATAATGTGTGAAAATAAGACGGAAAACTAACTAACTCATTGATATTAACCATGGATTAAGCCTAATTAATACTGCAGAGTAGACATAAATGTTAATAAATCAACTGTTTTGTTCGTATCATTTATAAACCGCAATTAGTCTGGACGAAGAAACAAGATAATATTTTAAAACCTTTGATGACTCATCCTTTACCTTGCATGCTGAGCTGTATGGCCCTGCGAAGATCAGCTTCTTCATCTTCAACATCTATGTCCTGTCTGCTGAGTGCCAGAGCTCTCTTCAGCTCTTCATCATCATCCACAACCTCATCCTCCACACCAAAGCCGATCTCGGTTTGATTCAGAGCTGCTGACCTGCTGCTCATAGTACATGGCTTAATCAGTTGCCACAAGTAAGTCAAAAGTGATACTCTTTTTTGAGTCATTTCTGGGCCCTACATACTGTACTGTCTGTAGTACATACCCTGCACTTGTCTGGGCTTCATCCTCTCCAATAAGCCTTGGCCGCTGCTGCTGGTGCACTCTCATGATCCCAAGGATCTGCTCTGCTTCACACTCAGGGAGGTTTCCTCGGATCACAAATATGGAATAACCTGCACCAACACAACTTTTACAACCTTTTCTGCATTGCAACATCTAAACATACCGTATCTGAATATAAGTCAATTTTACAGTACCTTCTTGTTGTAACTGCGCAAGGAAAAGGGCTAGATAGGTATCTGATATCAACTCTGGTCCAGTCAATAGGGAATTCAGGTTAAACCACTGCAATGAAAACAAAATACTGTATTTAGTAAATCAAGCTTTTGTTTTTGATGACAAGTGCCTCATACCTGTTGTCCAAGTTTGCGTATAGTAAACCAGTGCTCCTTGTAGTTGCAAATGAAGGCTTTCTCATTTCTAAAAAACAAGAGCAGGGATAGTTTTCACCATCAACTTCAAATGTGAAGTACTTATGTGAATACAGATTAAGACATCAGACGATGAAGTCTTGACAAAGAAACTTTACATTGGATTAATCATCAGGCTCTGGTATTCCCGGCTGTTGAAGAGGATTAGCTCCAAGCCCCACACTCTCAGAGCATTGCTAATTACCTAGAGGAATTAAACAGGAAACAGATATTACTAACTTATAATGGTTATTAATTTGTTGTGACAATAAAAAGTGAATCTCTTAAACTCACTTGTATTGAAAAGAATCCGCTGTCATCCATGTTCCCAGAAGGTTGCTGGGAACACATTCACAGAACATACAGTTACTGTTTGGTATTAGCATGTATACATTGTCTACTGTACCTTCACCTTCTACAGTATGTCTCCTCACCTGTAAGAAGGTCCTATACTCCTCACTGGCCATACCTCCCTCAGCCATCCTCATTCTCTCCTCTTCATCAAGCTGATGAGCAATGGAGGACAAATCTACAGGAGTGAAATACTCACCCTGCAGAAGGTTGTTGAGACAGTGCTGGGCGCAAAGAGAGCCCTCTTGCTACAAATAAAGGATTAGTTATTGTTAAAACACCGGCGCAAATGACGCTTATAACATGATAGTACGATGAAATAGTTGTTTTCTTAACAGCATAGTTAGCATTATGTTCTTGGAATCAGCTAATACTAAAATCTGTCCACACGGTAACGTTACCAGTCACACACAAGTAGAGCTACATACAGCTAGCTTACGTGAAACTACTCTTAATACTCCCGTTTAAGATCAGACTGGCTTAACATAGCTAATGTAAAACCAGTTCGTTTACAAACTTGACTAAAATAGCATGCTTGCGGTTGTTATAAAGATTCCTGCGTTGCTACTCCTAGTTGAAAAGAAACTTTTCATGATATCTGACTAGCAGGTGCAATTAGCATTTTAGCTGTCTGGACAACAATACTGCCTAACACCACCACAAATCTCTTAACACCGGCCGGATAGCGCCGGTAAACACATCGCCGCAAGATGGTCCAAGGCTTTCCAAATAAACACGACGAATTACTTGTAGTTTAATATCATAAGTTAAACGTTTTAACTTACTTTCTCATGAAATATGGAATCCATATTCAGCTCTGTCAAACATTCAACTCTGACCTCCAGCCCCGCTGCATTCAACACCGGGGAAAGAAAGGCAAAACCCGACCAGCGGCCTCTAGCGGCTGAGTTCCTCCTCCAGCACCACCTACACTCAAAT